GGAAAAAAAAGGACTGTATCTTCTGGTTCTTTAAAACAGAATTACACCAGATTTATTCAACACCTGTCTGCCTTAAAAGGCTTGGTTACATAAAGGATGATTAAAAAATGAGTAAGTGGAATACTAGTGAGAAATAATTCAGGAACCAAGTTCAAAAAATCTGTATTAAAATTCAAAGCAAAAACTTAGAGAAAAAAAATTCAGATATATGAGTTGCATTTTACATTAACTACTTTAAAAGAAAAATATTATTTTTAACCTTATGTCAATTCTGTTTTATAATTCAACTACGGAATAAAGCTCTTATGAGGTAACTTTATTTAAGTTTGTAAATGCCTGGAAGATAGTTGTAGGTGTAGTCTGCATCACAAAACAGATAAAAGCATACTTTTACTTTCCTATGAATTGAAAATTCATACCAAGTGTAACACGCCATTGTGTAGTTTTCATTTTTTACTGTGTCTGAAAAGAAAAGCACTGAAATATCATTGATGAACTCTGAACCTGCTGTCCTTTGCAATATGTACCAGGAGCCAGCAGGACAATGAGGAGCCTCGAGAGAATTCAGCACAGTCCTCTCAACATACCTTGTGTTAATCAAACAGCTTTCCCACCACTCTGACACATCTCCTGTGGCTCAATTTAGAGTTGTTCACTTGGGGAAGGTTCCACATTGGCAGTGCTGCAGAGCTTGGTCAAGTAGATCTGGGATAAGTCTATGCAAGTTGATATCAGCTTCATTAAGTATATTATATAAACAGAAAAGTAGGGAAACTGTTCCATTTTTATATCAGTTTATTCAATTGTGTTTCCAGCAAGACAAACTGAAATTAAATTGAAATTCTCAGTTACAAGATAAGAATGCCCTTAGCATGGTCTTCTTTGCCTTACTTTTAAGGACTTCTTGAAGGAATTGAAATTAGTTGATGAATTTTGAAATAATAGAATGAATGACCAAACAGGTTTTCCGTTAACATGAACTAAAAGTGATTGCATAGTAAAATGTCAGCCTCCTTTCAGGTAATGAATCAACACCCAATGAAAATGCCCATCCATGTGCAGGTGTGAACCAATGTTCGGATGGCAGGAAGTAAGCTTACCTAAAATGACAAAATTCCAAAGGTCTTTTTGAGTCAAACCAGCATTTTTCTGACTTTCAAGAAAAAGAAGTTGATAAGAAAGATACAAATAGCAAAAGTTTTAAAATGGGCTTTAAATTAGAGTAAATTTGAAAAGTAGACAGATGGTAAGGTTATGCCAAATCACAAAAATTATGTCAGTCCTGAGGGCTATAAAGTGATTATGGCGCACTGGGACACTGCAGTGAAGCAAAGTTATGCTTTTTATAACACATGGAACTCATTTCAGCATTTAAAAAGTATTCAGTGTGTCCCCTGGAATTTGAAACTGTGTTACTGATGTATTAGTGATGAACATATCCAAAAACTGGTAATAAATAAGAACTAGATAGTACAACTGCTGTGGGTCATCTGAGTTAAAATCAATTTCAGTCCAGGACCTTCCTCCAGAGCCCATTGTTATGGTAAGAGTGAGTGTTTTCAGTATTGCAGTACTTGATGACTCTTGCAAAAACACTCAGTCTTTGGTTACCCAGTGAAGTAAAATCCAAAACAAGATTAAATTGCAGAGCTCTGGAAGACAATTATTTTCCTAAACTGAAAAACAGCACCTGGAATTGTATGAAAGTTAACTATAACTAGAATTATAGTGACACATTTTTACAACTGTACAAGTAAAATAAATCACATCAGAAGAAGTAACTTAAGCTATTGCTGACATTTAACTTATGTTAACTTACATGTCAGCAGTAATAACAAGTAATTTATAACAACTCTAAAGGTATCTTCAAACCTAAATAATTCTATGATTCTGTGATCAAATATCAAAATTGTACCACCACTGAGCAGGGAATTGGCCCTGACTGACATGATGACATTAGTATGGATTATTACCTTTTATGGCTTATCTATTACTTAAAAAAATACATCTATGAAGTAGAAAAAAACTCAAATATCTTACAAATAGAGAAAATGTAGCTAACAACTGAAGTGTGGATTGAAAATTCATTCTATATTTTTAACTTGGTTTCATTATCTTCAGTTGAAAATTCATATGAATCAGCAACTTGACTTATTGTTTTCTAATGTATCTGCCTGTCTTTTGATCTGAGTTTTGGTTATCTCCTGTATCATTGATTTTGATTGCAGCTTATTTCTGATTAAATAAAACAATATCCTGCTGTCCATAAAAGGGTAACAGTTTTTTTAAACCATGCCTGCTGAAAATAGGACAAGCTCATTGCCTATTAGGAATCCTATCACAAATACTGAATTAAAATTTAAAAAAAAAGTGATCAGTAGGGTAAGAATGCTGTCTCTTGCCTGTATGCTGCAGAGAGTTGTTTACTCCTTCACGGTTACTAAAGAGTTACTCTACATTGGTTTTGTCCAGTGCAAAAGCAAACAGTTACTCTAAGTTTTCCTTCTACTGCATCTCTCTCATCCATCTCATACTTTTAAAAGTGAATGAAGACTAATAGGGAGTTTTTCCTTCATTCAGATATTCAGATAATGTGGGTAATACAATCTAGAGAGTTGCTATAAGGTTTTCTGGAATTTTACACATATCTATGTGTTTGATTATGCAGATGAGAATTGTATGTAAGCAATTAACAAACTACAACATCATTGAAATAGACATGGCCATATTTATGATTTGATTAGTATTTTTTCTTTAAAGACAACCTAGTAATTAATTTTGAACAAGTTGTTCTTCCTTAATGAAATACATTAAGTTTGTTTCTGATTTTATTTGCAGCAAGTCTTGCAACTTCATTACTATTCAAACAACATATCACATAGAGTTGAAAGGTGAAATCTGATTCTTTTTTCACAGTCTTCTTTGATATTCTGTGATTTTGGTATACTTTAATGTCGTTTGCTATATATGCTGAGAGTTTTTCTTCCTTTGAATAGCATGGAACAATTTATTGAGTGCTTTTCAGGGTAGGAATGTCAAAAAGTAGGTCAGATTGCTCAATCAGCTTTATCAATAGCAAGATTTTACAAATGACTGTCTTTACAAACCAACATCTTTATTCAGTCACAGAACAAAGTTTAAAAGCTTGTCAGTGATGCTGTACTTAATAAAAATCCACCTTTTATATGTAGCTTTGCATCACCCCCTTTTTCACCTCAAAAGGTTTGCAGCAAATTTCCTTCTCTAACTCAAGGTGGAAGTCTTTTCTTTCTTCTCTTGTTGAAGACTGCTAGTGTTTTATTGTGACCCTGTTTTTTCTCCCATTCTCAGTTGAGGGGAAAAAGGTGAAAAGGATGGAACCTCAAGCATTCTTCCATACCATTCCCAAGCTAAACATTTCTTGTCTAAACTTCTGCCTGATACTTCACATCTGCACCAGATTTAGCACTTCCCTGGTTTCATGCTGCTTTTCTTTATTGCAGCTTTCTGAAGTCGTACTAGTAAAGCGTTATCCATCATATTATAAGACGATTTAAATGCTCAAATTTTTGCTGAATTTATTCGCTTTTATTAAATTTTTTCCTATGAGTGTGATGAGTGTGATATAATAGATGATAAAAATGTGAACTCGCTTCTTGAATTAAAAAGAATCGTCCATAACTGTAATGTGTGAAATTCTTCTAAAGAATCCCTTACAGTAATGGTATAGAGTGCAGTGATGAAATACTGACATACAGATACATCTTCGAAGATAGATAAATCTGGTAAAAATGAATTGAAAATATACCTGAGCATAACAAACATTCCTTACTTAAATAACCAGATCTCAGAGAGTTACTGCACAATTTTGACTAGTCTTGCAGAAGTGTTCCAACCTTTGGGATCTTTAACTGTTCTCAAACTCTTAAACTCATTATTCCTTCCCTGAATTGATTTCTTTCAGCATTAACATTTACTTGGCCATCAACAGTTCTATGGGTTTGATTTGCTTATATTTAAAGCAGTTTTTTTTCCTGGCTGATGAGCACTAAAGGGAGAACCTACCATCTTTGCCAGTAAATACTGCAGACAATGGAAACATTATTTTGGAGGAAATGAGCACACTAGAAATATTAGCTGAAATGTTCATTGCTTCAAAAATGCAATGTTTTGTTTTATGCTGCCATGTATTATAATTTATTTCAGTATATGAACATAGCTTTGAATTAGCAGCTGTGTGTAGATAGTTGTGTTGGTGTCTTTTATAAAAACTTGTAAAAGATGTTTGGTGGCTATTAAACCTTGATTTAAAATCCTATCTAAACCATCTCTATATTCTACCATACTTAATATTTAAAACACAACAAATTCTTACCTGTATGTATATCACATGCTTATATGGTACTTATGCTTTCTGTGGTCTATTTAATTTCATAGTTTAAGTTCTTGAAGACAGGAATTATCTTTCTCCTGTTCTAACAACAGAGTAACTAATTCAGTGGTTATAGTGATGTCTGGAATGCTGTAATTTACTGCAATAAAATGTGGTCAAAAGAGCAGCAGAGCTGTAATTATTTTTTTTATTATTATTTCTTACGCTTTAAAATATTTATTTGTTTAATTTGTTAAGAAGTAACTGAATTTTAGACATTTCAGATAACCAGACTGTCCAGATAAGCCTTTGCACACAGTAATGGTATAGTTGTATGTAAGAAGGTATCAATATACAAACAGGAACGCATTTTATGTTTTATTAACTAACAACTGCTAAGAATTCAAGAACCTTCCATTTTGTTCTACTTGTGTGCATTGTTAGATACAGTTCATATATAAATCTGCTCTGAAACTGATTTGTATTAGATTTGTTAATGCTGCTTTTGAAAAAGTAGAGCAAGGGTTAGGTAGTCCTTTTGAAATTGAAGATACAGATGAGTTGATATGTTTGGGATATTATTTGCCAATGGTAAAGCTTATTAATAAAGTAAACTACTTGACTCATCTTAGTATGTATTTTAAAACAGGTGAGGCTAATGATAAGGATGTTCAGGTGGTGGAACTTCCCATTGTTGACAGCTTACACCCACGGCCACCCTATTTGCCCTTGGCTGTCCCTGAAGACTTGGCTGATAGACTAATTCGTGTACATGGGGATCCTGCAGTGTGGTGGGTCTCACAGTTTGTGAAATACTTGATTCGTCCACAGCCTTGGCTAGAAAAAGAAATAGAGGAAGCCACAAGGAAACTTGGTTTCAAACATCCAGTGATCGGGTGGGTATTTAGTTTTCTTTTTAACTGTTTGTGCTTTAATATGTGTGTGATACGTAGTGATTCCTGTTCAGAAAAAAAAAATGTTTTATGATGGTAATCAGAGTCTCAAAGTATTTTTGTGGGGAGAGAGGGCAATTTCTAGATGAAGCTCTTATTTTTTAACTGTGAATAATACAAATTGATTACAAGTACTTCTTCAGCACACTTGTCTACCTGTAGCTGGACAGATATATAAAAGGCAGCTCAATAGAAGGTTTCTTAACACATCTTCCACATCTGGTAATACAGAATTTCATTAATGCAATTGTCTTACAGCTTGTATTCCAGGCACTTTACTGTCTGTGTCTTCTTTCCAGTGCCTATAACTTTTATGTTTGAGGAAAAAAAATTAATACATGCCACAATTCACAATTAATTTTATTACTGGCTACATACGAACATGGAATGTGCCTTTCCCTTCCCTGCTGGTGTTTTCACAGTTGTTATTTCTCAGCAATAATGATGAATTGGAAAGGTCTCTATGGGGAGATACAGGGAAAAGGAACAAAAGCAGCAAAAAGCAGCTTGTGGGAGAAAGGTTTTCCCATCATGTAGTGTGAAAAATGTTGCTGCTGCTGTGCTGGAGTCTTCTTCCTTTGCCAGAATTTCCTTCAGTCCTTAAACTTTCTTTTTCTAGGATTACACAGTAGGTTGTCCAAATGTTAGTTGGTTTTTGACCTTGAGCCAGTAGGGCACTTCACCGCTGCTGTATCTGAAGACTTGTTACTTTTCAAGGAGTTCCAAAAAATGCATTTGTAACTACCTTAATTCAAACTATGCATTATATGATGCAGATATTCCTGTTTTCCTTTTGACCTATATTGATCAAGCATTATCTATCTACAGTAGATAACTTAACCTTGTGCACAAAAGGAATGCCACTTTATATGCTATAATTCAATGTCCTTCATTCCTTTCTTTCAGTTACCCTTTGCTTACATTGTCAGATTATTTTATTGCTTTTGAGAACAGACTAACTTCATATTGTCTGTGTGTCTTGATGGATGTGGATGAGTTTTAATCCATCCTTATTTTATGTAGGGATTCAATTTAACATTTCATTTGCTGAAGCATGTATAGTAGTTACAAATGTAATTCCTGGTTTCTCCCTTTTTCCAGTGTTCACGTCCGAAGGACAGACAAAGTAGGGACAGAGGCAGCATTTCACCCCATTGAAGAGTACATGGTACACGTGGAGGAGCGCTTTGAGCTGCTTGCTCGCAGGATGCATGTTGATAAAAAAAGAGTCTATTTGGCTACAGATGACCCTTCGTTGTTGCAAGAGGCAAAATCCAAGTAAGATGAATTATAATTATATTACAGTTCCGTCCTTCCGGTTGGCTTTACAACAATTTCTGAGTATGGTGCATCACAAGTTTTAGTATAATTTTTGGTTTTAATCCTTTATTCAGTTAAGACTGCACTTAATTTTCAAGTGATTTTGATTCTTCTTTCAGATATTCCTTTTTTTGATTTTTTTTTCTCCCAAGTATGCTTTTCAAAGCTTAATGTTAAAAATCTAGGAGAGTTGAGCAAGATACCTGTGACTATGTAAAAACAAATCAATGATGTAGAATAAATAAATATAATAAAAATAATATACATATAAATAATAGAAATATATTTTAATATAAATATAAAAAATAAACTTCTTACTGAACATACATATTAAAAAGAAACTAATCAGAAATATTGTAAAACCTGGTTGATATATTAAGAAGTATATGAAACCTGTCTAAAAAATACCTCTCTGTGAACAGTTGCCAGAGGAATTTTTATAATTGGGTTGAAAAGCTTATGATGAAGCTCTTCTCTCTTTCAGGAGGCCTTCTATAGTGATAGCATAGAAGACTTTCATCATACATGTTGAATAATTTTGTCCTTAAATACAGGACTTCTTACAGTGTCTGCCCCCTTTTTTGCTCTGTATCTTCTT